CAGGTCCCCATGGGGTGCAGTGGCACCATGTGAAGTTCCTGCCCAGCTCCCACTAGTGCTTGCTGCAGCAGTAAAGGTGCCAGCACAAAGCCCAGTGATGGGACACCTTTATATTTCCTTAAAACACATTTCCAGTTGCTCTTTCTCTGCTGAAATACTCCCAAGTGACCCAGGTCCTTCCTCTCTTTCCAGCAGTCTCACTCCAGGTAGACTCACTCCAAGTGATGGTATTCTGCATCTGCCTCCATGATAGAGGAACAGAAAGTGGCAAAGTTTTATGATAAAATAACAGAGATCAACACACCTCTCTAGGGCCACAGGTCATTTTCCTGGTGGCCTCTTCTGTCAGGCTACAATGGATTCAGCTTTGAACCTCTGCATCAGTGTCCTCCTGGAATCCCACTCTGCTCCAGCTGCTTTCTCTCTGCTGGTTCTGCCTGGCTGAGAGCAGTGGACCAGAGTTCAGGGAGGGGATGATACATGATTTCATCCTTCTGGTTTCTAGGCACTGGCTTTAGCAATCAAAGAGGCAAAACTACAGCATCCTGACATGCTGGTAACCAAAGCTGTGGTATACAGAGAAACAGAACCTTCTCCAGAGGAACGGGACAAGAAACCTCAGGTAGGTGAACAAGTTACCAGGTATGACTTAGATCTGCTGTACAGGGTGGATGTAACTGCGCAGACGCCTCTGGTCCCCACCAGCTGCAGGGGCTGGTAAAGGTTGCTGCTCCTGGGCTCTAAGGGTGGCAGCTCTCAGCCAGCGGTTCCAGTGTTTGCAGAAAGGAAGGTTTCCTCAGTCCCATTCAAATCCCCAGGCTGTCTGTTTATACACACACAGGTACAGGCAGCAGCACACAAGGTTTGCACCTCCCCAAAGCAATCACAGCCCCAGACATTTTTCCCCAGGGCAAAGCTTCAGGAGTCACTGCCCACTCCTAACCCCCTTCTCTGACCCTGTTGCTCCTCCATCAGCCGGGTTGCCACAGCTCTTTGGTGGTGGCACAGTGCCCTGTGTCAGAGCAGCTGGGGAGCAGAGGAGCATGGTGGAGAGATGGGGAGCTTCTGAAGGAAGCTTCACTGCTCTGTCACCAGTGAGGCTGCAGGTGCATTTTGAGAGGCCTCTTTGGAATTGTGGGTTTGTGTTTCTTTATCATCTGTGGATTTTGATTGGCAGCTTTTAAGCTTGGAAAAGTGACCAGCTCCATTGCAGCCTGGAGGGTCAGAAGAGGCTCTTGCACTTGCCTAATCTTACCTTCTATCCCATACTACAAACGAGCCCAGGCAATTCTGCATCACTTAGGGAGATGCCCAATTTTAACTGAATGGCTTAAAGTAAGGGAGCAGTGACTCACCTTTATCTCCAACACACCAACATCTACACCAACACCAGCCCAGAGCTCCTGGTAATGAAGTGCCAAGTGTGGCCCCAAGTGTTTGCAAATTTCCTCTCTCCATTGTCCTCATGCAAAGAGGAGCCCTTTTATACTGCAGCAATGAGCACCCCGTGAGTGGTCATTTCCATCTGCCTTGTACAGGAATCTTGACCAACATGTTCATGGAAGTCAGCACCTGTGTTCAAACCTGGAGAACAGCGGAGAAGGAGCCTTCATGCTGGATTTGTCAGCAAGACATAGACATCCTGGCTGCAATGTTCATGGCGAGAGACAAAAATTTTTAACAAAGGAATAGCAAATATATTATATATATATATATACATACATACATATATATATATATAAAACCAGGAAACAAAATGCATCCTTGCACTGCTGCTATATGCTGGAAACAATAGCAAACAACACCACCAACAAACAAAGCCAACCCTCTGCAGATAAATTGAAGAATTTACTGGATTGGTGATAAAATAAGATTAAAAAAAAAGAAATCAAATCATAATAATAACAAGAATATTGTTAACAATAAGCCACCATCTTGCATGTTACATTAAAGGATACACAATCATGAGTTCATTTGTTGCACACTGAATGGAAAGGAAAACTGCTTTGCAACAAAGCAAGAAATAAGCAAACTTGAAATAAAATAACAAAACCACAAGCAGAAGCAAAACCATTCCCCACCTCTGGAAAGAAGAGAGAAAAACATTGAATTTATTACCTTAGAGTTATTTTCTGATTCACAAGTGTCGTTTTGCCCTTCTCTTTCCATGCTGGTTCTTTTGCATCCTTTGGGGTTCTGTTAACTCTTCCCCTTCCCTTCCTTATCTTCTCCTCTGTGCACTTGTCCAACCTCTTGTTCTCTGAAGGTATTTAAGAAGGGGTTTCATTTCAAACAAAACAAATGATATGTATATGGTTTCTCATTTATAAAGAAGCAGGCTGTAGGGGTTTCATATGGATGTGCATTTAAGTTATGTATATTATTATATATAACGAGGGGGGAGGGAGGGAACAATACTGAAATAATTCAACAGTGCTGGTAAATATGATGACATTTTTAAATTATTAACTCGTTGATGGACCGTGGTTGGTGTATTTTGAGACTCTTGGATCACACGTGGGACTCCCAGTCCTGCAAGAAGAGAACGGGGAAGGTTTCAGCCGCTGCTGGATTTGGGGAGGAAGGGAAGAGGGTGAGAGATGGGAGGTGTCCCGCCGGCTGATCTGCAGTGTGTGGTGGTTGGATGTGGAGGGTCAGTGGTGACTTGGATGGGCAGGGAAGGAGGTTGAGGCTGTGGCTCCAGCAGCTGTAGGCATTCATCTCCCTGGCCCTCACCCAGAGCTATGGGAATCAGCTGAGAGCAAGGTGGCAGCCGCACGACTGGGTTCATCGCTTGCCTCCAGCCCGTTGAGCCGTACCGGTGGTTGGGGTGGTTTTGCTTTGTTTCTGGATCCCAGTAATGAAGTTACTTGAGCTTTGTAGTAGGGTTGAAGGCAGAGGGGTTGTTTCTGCTTTGCCTCCCCTGCTACCCAGGGTGTGATGGCAAGGGCTGCCCGAGGCACTGTGGCTGGTGACAGTGGTGGCAGGGTGGTGTCAGTCCTTCCCGGACCTGCCTAGGGATGGGCAGTGGAAAGACTGAGCTGTCTCCATCCCCTCAGAGTGTCCCCAGCATCCCAGGCTGGACAAGAGAGCCCTGGCCCTCTGCGTAAGAAGGTGTGTATGGAGGAGATGTCAGTGGAGATGCCTTCCCCCAACTCATCCCAGCTTCGGCCCTTGGCCACATGCTTCCTCTATGGCTGCCTTTGGAAGAGGATCATGGGCCAAGCCCAGGGCCTTGTACACTGTGAACCAGGCAGTTAGGGTAGACTTGGAACCAAAATGAGAAAGTAAAGGAAATAAACGGGTTTCCTTCTTGGAATCGTCTCTAGCTCCTGCGGAAACAGAAGGGCCCATGACTCTGCACCATTTTGCCTTTAGTCTCCCACCCCTCACACAGACTGTGCCCAGAAACAGGTACATTTTGCCAGGTCCTGCAGTGGCTCGGAGGATGACAGAGAGCAGGAGAGCCTGCGCCGTGAGGATGTGGGCAGCTCCTGCTCACTGCCTCTGCTGTCCTAGGAGAGAGCCTGCTCCCTGGCAGCCGCTGTTCACCACCACGTCCCTGTAAAGTCTGTTCTTCTGGCAGAGGTTTCTCCTGCAGGCGTGAAAGGCACGAGCACAGGCTGCTGGGGAAGAGAACATTACTGCTGGCTGGTGCCAGTGCTGCAGGTTGTGAGGGTCTCCCCTGCTTCCATCCAAGCGCCTTTAGTTAGAGACCAGACCCCCAACCAAAAGAGTGCAAGCAGTTGTGAAGAAGCTGCTTTTCTCTTTTCCCAATACCCCCAAACCAGTTGTAATCAGCAGTGGCACTTTCAGAGAGAGGCGGGGAGGTGGAGGACTTGGGGTCTGTGCAACAGTGCTGGTGTTCAGCACACTGCGTGTTCCATGCTCTGAGGAGCCCACCTGGCTTGGACACCTTTAGGACCCAACCAGAGGCTGCTGTGAAGCTAGATACTTGCTTTTGACATCGTGTAGCTGTGAAACTGAAGGTTCCTGTTCAAACGATTGGCCTTACAGAGTTAGACTTGATGTGCGCTTGGACTGAAGTGAGTTACGTTTGGAGTGAGCAGATGCAGTCCCTGGCTTCCGCAGTGTGTACAGTGGGTGACGGTGTTTAGAAACTATAGAGAAAAACACAAGGAAAAAGGATAGGAAAAAGCTCCCAGCTTGTTCAGCGGGTGAGGTGTGGGGTTCCTGCTGCTCAGCACCACCTGAGGCCCCCGTGGGCTCCGCTCCCCCAGCCTGCCCATCCCCTTGCTCTGTTTCAGATAGCTGATCACTGCTTGCTTTCTTCCCGGGACCTTTCTGTTGAAAGGGGTGGGAGACACGAGTGCCTGTTTTTACCTGATCCCACAGACTCATTCCAAACCTGGCCTGCGATTGCATGAGTAACAATGACAGTAACAGTAATAATATTTATTTTTATTTGAGAAGCACCTTACCAACCAACCGCAACGCTCTGTTGTTCCTTCACTAACTCTCCTTTTCCCTTGTTCTCCCTCTCCCCCCCTTTGGTCATACTCCTTTTCAGTGCTTGGTGGTGTATGCGTGTGTGCTCACTGTTCTTGTATTCAATAAAAGTGAAATAAATGTGTTTGATGCTAAATCAGCTTGAGGCCTCAGCGCACTCTTTCCTCCCAAGAGGATGGAGAAGGGGGAAGCGCAATCACGGTCTCTGCACATGGAAATGCAGGACTCTGCTCTGCATGGCTCTGTCATCCTGGGAGGGAGGACGTGCTGCTAGGAGAGCGTCTGTCCCGCTGCGGGGGTCTTCTGCCCCCGTCCTTCTGCCCAGCCACGGGGCTCGCTGCCTCGCAGCCGGCAGCCGCGGAGGGGCACGGTCAGCTCTCGGCTTTGGGGGGCAGCGAAGGGCAGGGACGCCCGCTGCGGGTCCCGGGGCTGGGCCGGAACGACTGTACCCGGAACCGGCGCACCCGGAACGGCTGTGCCGCCCGGGCGCTTTTTAAGGAGGAGCCCGGCGGCAGCGGGCTGGAGGTACCGGCGTCCCCCGTGTGGGCCATGGCGGGCCCGCGGCTGGAGCCCGACCTAGCCCGGCAGCTCTTCTTGGAGGGCGCCGCGGTCGTAGTGCTGGGTGTGCCCGCGGGCACCGAGTTCGGCATCGACTACAGCACCTGGAGCGTGGGCCCCAGGTTCCGCGGCGTCAAGATGATCCCGCCGGGCGTCCACTTCCTGCACTGCAGCGCGGGGCGGGCGGGCGGCCGGGAGACGGGGCCTCGCACCGGCTTCTTCCTGAGCCTGCAGCGCCGGGACCTGCGGGTGCTGCGCTGGGACGCCGGCAGCGAGGCCGTGGAGCTGGCGCCGGCGGGCACGGAGGAGGCCGCGGCCTTCAGGGAGAACCTGCGGGAGCTGGACCCGTTCCTCGGGCCGTACCCCTACGAGAGCCTCAAGAAGTGGGTCTCCCTCACCAGCTTCATCAGCGAGGCGGCGATGAAGAAGCTGCAGCCGGAGAGCGGGCAGATCTGCGCCTTCTCCGAGGTGCTGCCGGTGGCGGCCGGGAGGCTCTCCAGGGACCGGGCCGAGCAGCGCCTGCCGCCCGTCGATGCCGAGTGCCGGAGCTACGCCGAGGGCTTGGCGCGGCTGCCCCAGATGAAGCCGAGAGCCGGTACCGAGATCAGATTCACGGAGCTGCCCAAGCAGATGTACCCCGATGGTGCTACGCCGGAGGAGATCACCAGGCACAGCATGGACCTCAGCTACGCGCTGGAGAAGGTGATCAGCCAGCGGTACGCCAGCCAGCCTCGGGATCTGCTCGGTGAGTGCCGCGCATTGCACGGTTACTGCTCCCGTGCTTTGGGAGGATAAAGTCATTTCTCTGTAAAACCAGGGCCCCAGATGAAACCTGCTCCTGTGCTGTGGGCCCCGGTGCCCTGAGGTCTCTGAATTGCGATTTGTGGAGTTTTCAGCAGCTTTAGGGCTGCTTCCCGTTATGCTGGTGAGGATGCGCTGTTCGGTGCCCAGAGCTGCCTCTCTTGCTTCTGGGCACTGACCCAGATTGTCTCGAATTAAGTCAAAAGCAGCAACCACATCTTGTGCAAAAGGGGCCTGTTGCCTGGCACCAGTTAAGTGAACCTCTTGAGGACCGGGGGCACTGAATGGGGCTGAAAGTCACCGTTTTCAGATCCTTGTTCTCGCTTCGGGGTGCTGCCGGGTGGTACCTGCCTCCCAGCAGTGCCCAGTCCCTGCCTGGCTGGAGCGGTGGCAGCTCTGCTCTGTGCTGCTGGCGACTCTCTGTGGCAGCGTCAGGGCTTTGCCAGCCCTGTAGCAGGGGGACATCCCCAGCGGGGGGCTACAGCTCCCGGTTGCAGGGTCCCCGTTACTTGCCAGGCTTTTTTGTCGAGATACGCATAAATATCAAATCCGCGGAAGTCCTGGAGGGGGGGTTTGTTTCGTGGCAGGATGGAGGGAGGGCTTGGGACCACGGCCAAGCTGCAGCATTGGTTCTGCTGAGGTTTGCAATAACGCTTTGGTTTTCCCTTTCTCCAGTTTTTCTGTTAATGTTATACAATTTATTCTTTATCAAAATTATCAAAGACAACTTTAGGCTATGCAAAGGATGAATTACCTTAGGAAATGGTGGTGCCATCAGTCTGGCAAAATAGCTGATGCTAAGGTATCCAGCAAGCAGAACCTTGGCTCTTAATTCAATAAGGGAAAACATCTGTTAATGTTAACTCACCTCCCCCAGTGTTCCCACAGCCCTTCTGATCTAGGGCAGTAGCATTTTCATTCCTGTGTGGCTCTAGAAACCTGGGTACGGGTAGACTCAGTGCTTGCAGAGCAACAGCAATGTGTGACTTCCTATATGGGTGTTATTTTGAGAGTGCAGATGACAGTCCTTGGTTTGCTGTTTATTCTGCCTGTAAAGTCAGTCTCTGAAGGTGATAATTACAATTACAGGTGGATGTGCCCAGTTATGCCTTGCTTTTCCTCCAGCTGAGGAGCAGAGAGTTAGGGAGTAGTCTGTGGAGCATTGATTGCTATTAGTAGAATCTGGAAGGGCAGAATACACATGTGAAAGGCAAACCCAGAGATTTATGCTATCATTTACAGTGTTTTTGAGAGGACACGTACCTTGGGTATGTTTTCATTCTAATGTGTGTTTTGTTTTCCTTTTCTGAATATGCACAGCTGAGTTGCAGTTTGCTTTCATCTGCTTCTTGATTGGAAACGTATATGATGCGTTTGAGCACTGGAAAAGACTCTTAAACATCCTGTGCCGATCTGAAGATGCCATAAGGAAGTATCAAGACCTTTATGTCAATCTGATTTCTGTGCTGTATCACCAGCTTAGTGAAATCCCAGCGGATTTTTTTGTGGACATTGTCTCCCACGACAACTTTTTAACCAGCACCTTGCAGGTATGTTTGTTGCTGCCTCTTGAAAGATGGCAGTGGGAGGAGAGGGCATCGAAGAAGCTGTGAAAGCAATTAAGCTACTGTTGAGCTGCGTGGGAGCTAATGAGCCTATCTAAGCACACACATGTTTGCTTTTACTTTTTCCTTATGTTATTTCCAAAGAGATGCCATTTGCTTGTCATCTCAGAGTTTGATCTGCTCAAGCTGTGCCTAGAAGAGGCTAATGCAGTATAAAATTGAGTTAGTCTGCATGCGGAGAAGCCAGCAAAATAAGGCAACAAGAGGAACAGCTAATGAAGATGGCCACAGCAGAGACTGGGGACTGTGTCTTTTATGTTTTCCTTGCAAATAGTGCCCGTTTGTTTGTTTTTTCTCAAATGCCATTCATTCTTTAACACAAAAAGCAAAACTTTGCCGTAAAAGACTGATGATGCTGATTTCTGGTCAGCTTGGGTGGTCTGCTTAGTATGCAGAGAAGTTGCAGTGAAACTTTATTGAGCTTAGGGCATTGATAGGATTTAAGAAGTCTGTTAGCCTTAGTGCGTGGAGAGTTTATCTGTGTTAGCTTTTGCTCAGCTTTGAGCACAACAATTTTATTTTTGGAGTTTGATCCATGGTGAAAAGAGTACAATATAACCTCCACTGAGTATGCAGCCCTAACAATGTTCAAAGGGGGGAAAAAAGAAATAACTAATAATATAACTAATAATAACTAATTGCAGTTATGCAGGAGAAGTGGGAAGTATAATAGTTTAGTTAGATTTTGTAATAACAGCCTTGCTGTGTAACACAGCTCTGTTAAAAAGAGGCAGTTTCATGGTAGAATGAACAAGGAAAAGGCAAATGATAATCAACAAAGCAACGAACTTTGCTGCTCTTGTCAATGTTTTATTCAGCTGTCAGTAGGTCTCTCTCAAGTAAGAGCCTCCTTTTTCCCCCAGAGGATTTTCCCTTCACTTCCATTGTGCAATGATATTTTTTTTGGCTTTGAAATACAAGTTTCTTCCTATGGAAATGAATTCTGGCTCAGAAGAGGAGCAGGGGCAGGCTGGTGAGAGATGGGCTGTCAGGCTAAATGCCCAATTTAAACATACACAGGTGCTTTAACTCTCAAAGTGCTCACAGAAGCTGTGACTTTGAAAAGTTCATAAATGTGTATGTGTTTAGGTGATGCAGGGGAGCCACGTTTAGAGGTCAGTGCAGATTTCAGTGCCCTGTGCAAAAGGAAGTGGCTGTGAGGGTGTAACTGGACTTTTCCCAGCCAGCTCCCATGAAAAATTCCTCTTTTTTTTCCTTTTTGTTTTCCTGCTCACAATTTTTTCTGTACTTGCAGTTAAGCATATTTCATAATTCTTTGGTACATATTTAATTACAAATATACCCCTGCTTCAAAGAAAGTTATTGCCTTAATGCAACTACTCCTAATGCTGACTCGGTGGAGTGAAGACAGGATGTCTGTCTTAGCTCTGGGATGAGAGGAGAAGTGTGGGCTTTGTTTAGGCAGCCCCAAAGCTGGAGTGGTTCCCAGGGTGGGAGATATCTTACCAATGGCCTAACCTCAAACTCCTGGTGCATCTTCTTGATGATGTCTTTGTAGGAAAGAGATGCCCAGCTTGTGCCGTGGCTGAGTTCTTAATGACCTCTTCTCTTTTAGGTGTTCTTTTCCTGCACGTGCAGCGCTGCTGTTGATGGGACCCTAAGGAAAAAGGCAGAAAAATTCAAGGCTCACCTAACGAAGAAATTTAAGTGGGACTTTGAGGCAGAGCCTGATGACTGCGCTCCTGTCGTGGTAGAACTTCCTGAGGGCGTGCAGGTGGACTAAGAAAAACACTTGCTTACAAATAAACTGCTTCTTAAAATAACTCCTCTCCACATTTTCTCCAGCCTCACCAGCTTCCTGAAGTCTGTTCCTGAGCCTGACTCCTCTTTCTGCTGTAGAAGCAGATATGGAAAACCCAGCAGGATTCCAGGAGACTGAATTATTGGAAGAGTTTGGATATTGTCATATGGCTGCTTTGGACACCACCTTTTTTCATGCCTAGCTCTTTGTACCATCTCATTCAGTACTTAGCTGACCTCTAGATCCTGTCCTTCTGGTCCTGACCTGGAGGGAACACCCTGTCTAGAGGGCATCTGTGGTTTACACTTGAAGCCCTTGTTGCTCTGATTTAATGCCTTCTGAGCAAGGAGTGGAAACCCACATAACTGGTCAGAGCAGCTTTTGACAGCCCCAACCCTGGCTGTGAACTAAGAAGTTCTGTTCTTCATAGGCTGGGATTACGGGGGTGTAGCCACAACAGTTTCAAAACTGTGTTGAATGCCTATGTTTCTTACTGTGATTTATTGCAATGATCAATAAATCATTTGATTTGGGTCCTCCTTATGGAGGGGGACTCGAAACCACAATAAAATGCTTCCCATTACATACCCCAAATACTGGGGTATCTTATTCTTCCATTCTGTTAAAGCATTTTGTAGTTACTGCTGATACTGTTTACCCTTATGTAAAAGAAAATTAACAGTTTAGTAACAAGAAGTAGAGTTATTGGACTGTAGTCACCCAGTCTTGAAGAGCCAGCATGAGTTAAAAGGTCAGACTTCTACATGAACTGGATCCTCTGTTTTGATACAACTAGAAATCTTATGGATTGTCACTGGTGACAGTATCTTCTTGCTCCCCACAGGGAGGGTATAAGAAAACCTGTGGTGCTTACTGAGAGCTGCAGAGGGATTTAACCCTACCACTCACTTCTTACTTTCTTGGCTGTTATACTGCCTCAGGAGCTTGTCTGTATGCATGTCTAATACTGTTTGTTAGCCTTTTATAGTTCAAAATAAATCTCAAGAGACCCTTTCCAACAGAAAATATCTGTACAAATGAGTTGTTCAGTTACTTAGCCAAAGCTTATGATACAGTGACACTGCCCTTTCTCATCGGGATATCCAGTGTCCCCAGAAGTAATACCACAATGGTAAGTGTGACATCCAAGGACAGCTCGTAGAACAGCATATGGCAAGACAGTGTGTTCTGGGAAGAAGGTATGTGATGAGGTGTTCAGATAACTGGGAATTTACCACAGGAATCGGCTGTCAGGAGCCTCACCCACTGCTCTGTGCTGTGTCTTCCCTCTCCTCCCTTTCCTCTGCACTCCATTATTCTGGTGTCTTGGTCTGTCCTAATCATTTAAAATAATGATCTCCATATAGACCACAGGCCCTTAGGGGAGGTTACTCTGATTTGGCAAGGGTGGTGCTTTGTTTCCTTGTCTGTACCACCCCTGAGAACTTTTGTATGGTAGTTTGACTGTGCTTCCCTCATGTTATAGAATCACAGAATAGTTGGGTTGGAAAGGACCTCAAAATCATCCAGTTTCAGCCCCCCCCACCATGGGTAGGGATACCTTCCCCTAAACCATCTCACCCAAGGCTTCCTCTCTGTATCCACAGGCAGTGCTGTCTTTCCAGTGTCGAACTGGACAAATCATTTGTAATGGATGGTCTCAGCTTTGAAGAAAGCTCTTTGCACCAAGCCGATGACTGGTTCTGTTGCTCTGAAGGAGAACACCAGTCACTTATGTAAGTAGTAAGCAGCGAAGGAGCATAGAGCCTGAGACCTGCCTGGCTGGAAGCAAGAGGAGCTGTGGCTGCAGACCAGGCAGTACTAGTGCTTTGCAGGCTGTCCTGGCACTTGTTTGAGGAGTAGGTTAATTTGAGTGTGTCTGTTAAATCTCAATAACAGTAACTGAAAACTAGCTTCCAAAGTGTGCAATCATTGGGTTCCCATAATGAACTATACTTCTAGCAACTGAGAGAGAGAATGTAATTGTACTTCCTTTGTGCTTTTCTCCTGTTTGCAAGGGTTTAGTAGGGAGAGGTAGTATCTTCCTGTTAAACCCACAGAATAAGTGCTTTTGGGGACACAGTCCCTTGGTCAGGTAAGAAATAAGCAGTAAACTTGCAGCTAAATACTGGTTGAGGTGTTCAGAATTCAACTGCATTACATGATTCAATTGCACGCTTTGAGGGAAAAGGGAAGCTGGCACATGTGAAACAATCTGTGTTGGATGTTTGTAAGGGAGGGTTTAAATCTGGGAGGGAAAAGAGTGCCGTTATTCCTGTTGAAGTCCTCAAGAAGGAGGGTATAAAAGGAAAGTGGTAACATGTAATAGAAGGAATGTTTTCTTGCCCTTATATAGCCCCAGCCAGCTATGGTTATGATGACACTACCCCTTCTTCCAGCTAAGATGAATACAGTGATCTGAAAGCAAAAGAGACTGTGTGTGTGTGAACACACATTACTGAAAGCTAACGAACTGTAATATGTGATGTGTTTGCAACATTGATTCAGCAATGAATTTGGGTCAGGACAAGCAGCTTTTGGTGAGTTGTGAAGTGGCACTGAAGCATGAGGTACATTGGCCTCCTGCTTATGTGGAGAGTTGTCCAGCTGCCAGAGTTGGGGCAAACTCACATCATTCCTGTCCTGTGACTCGCTTTCGCTGCAAACTGTGTTGGAGCATGGGCCCTACTTAGCCCTAGCTGAGGTTAATCACGTGTGAACGAGCAGTGGCATGAACTGACCACTGGACACCCCCAGAGATGCACTGCATGCTACATTTACAATGCAAAGCCTAGTGTAAGTATATTCAACCCTGAGAGCTGCTACTCTTTCACTTCCCACCTAGGCTCAGTAACATCCACCAAACCAGAGGTTTGAGACTGATCTGTATCCTCTGTGGGGTCCCTTTGTTTTCCTGCACTACACCAAAGAGAGTTGTTTCTTGTTTTGTCGACCCTGCAAGTTCATAGATGTGGAATGTGGCACCTGAGGCTTCCTTCCTGTCCCAGTATGGGGGTACAACCTTTCTTATTGGGAAGAGAAATGGCACATATTGCTCTGCCAATTCATGCAGCGTTGTGTGTGATCTCCACCACCTCCTCTGCAGCAACCAAACAAGCAGACAGACCACTTCTGTCTTCTTCCAGGTGGATTGCTGCTGGTGACTTCATCTCATCACTGATGAGCATGCACAGTGTAGCTTTGCAGTTCAAATTGGTTTTGTGTGGCAGCTGTCTCAGCAATGCTTTAACTCCCATGACATCAGTGCTTGCAGACCTTGACTATCACCAAGGTTGTCTAATGTTTGCTGTTACCCAGAGATGTAGAGGTGGTGTTCACTTGTTCAACTGCTCTTGTCCTTTAAATGCAGACTAAAGATGAAAGGGAGCAGGTGGGGAGGCTGTGGAAAGCAATCTGTGACTCTCTGTAGCTTGATGGTGCTGTGGTTTTAAATCTGAAGTGAGCTCAGGGTTAATTATTGAACCAGCAGCTCTTCCTTGCTGCTGTCACTTCTACTGCTTAATGATAAGTTGAATTTTTGCTTATTTGCTTGTGGTAATCCCAATCTTTCTGTGTGTATCTTGCTTCAGTTCTTTTTTTATTAAGCTTTTCTACTGTTTGTTGGTATCATACCCTTATTTTTGTAATCCAGAAATAACAAATGATAGATATCCATTTGGTATTTGTGTGTCTAACAACTACCAGGAGTTATTTTTCAGGGTTTCTTAGAGGTGCACCACTTTTGTTTGGAGGAGCATTTATTTCTGCTGCTGCTTTGACAGCTGGACATGGACTGTGCCAGCTGCTGCAGATGGAGTGGCTGGCACCGAGCTCCTGGAATATGGAAAAAGATGAAATGGAACATCTTCATTCCTTTCCCTGGAAAAGGAAATCTTTGGCCTCTGATACTGCTGTTCATTGTCGAATGAAGCTACGACAGTGGTTTATCCTGCAGCCCTGCTACTATAAAAGGGATGTGTTGTGAATGGTCATTCCTTCCCAATGTGCTCAGCTCTTCCAGAGCTGTTTATGCTCCCCCGTGCACCTCTTGTCCTGCTTCATGGCTGAGATTTGGCAGTGCTGGAGCCTATCCCAAGGAGGCAAGTGTAGTACAAACCACAGTGTGGAGCTGGAGCATGGGTGGGAGGATGCTCCATAAAGCATGGACTGTGCTGGAGCCTGTAATTAATGCGCAGGAGGCATTGCCTCTGCGGGGGCTTCATTAAGAGAACATAAATGAGCTGCAAGGCAGCCTTAATACAAATAAACAACTCCAAATGGGTTAATCAATAGGAGGAAAAATCCATACAGGCAGCCTGTCGGGGTGGCTGCTTTGGGTATGTGGTCCTGCCTGCCTCAGTGGGTTTCAGCTTTGTGCCTTCATGAGGAATGAGCTGATAGCGGGGTGCTGCGCAAATGGGTTGTGCAGCTGCAGCCTGGCCAGGTCTGCCTTGTGCCCACTGGGCTCTGGCTCCAGCATCTCCTCTTCCCCTCAGCTGAAGGGGCTCCACAGACTGGAACCAAAAAGGCTGTGCTCGTGTTTGTTGTAGCATGGTTGCAAGATGAGACAGCCCCTGCTGGATCTCACATTTGAGCAGGCAAGAAGTGAGGGGGAGAAGGAAATGGCAAGAGTTACCTGTGGGGCTCTTCCTTTACTGTGGAAGTTGCTCATAATGCCACTGACTGGTAAGAAGCTTGTGAGGGCAAAATTCCAGGAGCAGTGTGGTTATAATGGGAGTTTTCACAGCTTCCCCCCCCAAAAAATACCTTTTTTTGGGGATAGGAAGGGGACATTTGAGCTGTCTTTACTGTGAAGGTTCCTGCAAGGAGAAGGAGCATCACTGGCAGGAGCACTGGCTTCTTCATGTGATTTAAAGCAAACGTTACCATTAGGATTTGGATGGAGAAAGTTTCTACTTTGCAGAGAATGGTTTTCAGTGAAGGAGAAGGACCTCTGGGTGGCTCCACCTTCACAGGTCTGGCATTGGATGCTGTCATCCCTGCAGGCGCGCTACAGGAGCAGCTTTATTTTCCGGAGCCATCCTTCTGCTTTAAGTACTCGGCAGCAGTGGGTATTCATGGCTGGCTAATGCAGCTAGCCGGAGACAGTCTTATTCCAGGCAGGAACTGCTTATAGAGGCGGTTATCCAGGGGAGCACTGCCTCATCACTGAACACTGGTGATGTATCCCAAGTCTGTACTGGACATCCCAGCTAGAAGTGATGCTTCACATGCGTGCTGAGGCCCTGCAGTCACAAGTTGGTCTGGAAACAGGCTGGCTGCTCCAGCACCCAGTATTGTCCCCTCCATGGAGCCACAAAGCAGGCTTTGCACCATGAAGTTCTGCAATAACCTGTATTTAACGGATGGCTGTTCCCAGTAATGTGAATTGTTCTTTTAATAATGTTTGGTGGAGGATTTTATGGAGCTACATTCACAAGTGTTCCCTCAGTGCTGCTTGCTCCTTCTCTGTGTAAGTTCTTTGTCCTATTTAGACAGCTGGGAGCTGCTCAAACATGTTAAATGGCAGTAACCCAAACCCATGGATGCGCCAAAGGGACCCTGAGCCTGGCCACAGGCAGATGGGGATGGTT